AGAGTTGGGGTTGTTCAGCCTGGGAGAAGAGAAGGGCTCAGGCAGACCTTATAGCGGCCTTCCAGTACTTAAAGGGGGCTACAGGAAAGGTGGGGAGGGACTCTTTAGCAGGGAGTGCAGAGATAGGATGAGGGCTGATGGTTTTAAACTGAAAGAGGGGAGATTTAGATTAGATATAAGGAAGAAATTCATTACTGTGGGGGTGGTGAGGCCCTGGCACAGGTTGCCCAGAGCAGCTGTGGTTGCCCCCCTCCCTGGAAGTGTTCAAGGCCAGGCTGGACGGGGCTTTGAGCAACCTGGTCTGGTGGGAGGTGTCCCTGCCCATGGCAGGGGGGCTGGAAATAGATGATCTTAAGGTCCCTTCCAACCCAAACTGTTTTATGATTCTGTGACTTGTTGACTGTTCTAGAGCTCATTAAAATAAACAGCCTTTCGGAATGTGTTTTTGTGTTCCAATTATGATAATTAAAAAGATAGTATTCATGCTTCTTAGATTATATGAAGTATACTTCGATACCTTTTTAGAATCTAAAAGCAATAACATGTACCTGTTGTCCTTGCTAAGTACCTATAACTGAGGGGAAATTAACCAGCAAAGGAAATTGAAAAAATATCCAAACAAGAATTGAAAAATGATTAACAACCATTATAAACATGCATGGTTGTTAATCTAAGACACTTTGAATTATGGAAATAGAGGAAATAAATAAATAGAACACACATAAAAAGAACATCACAAGTAAACTTGTATAATATTTTTCTCTTATGTAAAGAGAAGATCAGGAGTAAACTTGTATAATAATAAAAAAGATTACATGTATCATACTTTTAAACTCTGCTCTTTGCAGCACATCTTACCTTGATAGATCTACTTATTTCTCATTTGGGGATATTAACAGAACTTTTGCCTATTCAAGTTATCAATGAAATGAAGTAATTAAAATTAAATGAAGCAATAACAAACATAAGGATGTTTGCACTAAAGTGCAGCAAATTTTTTTACAATTGTCTGCACACACAAGTTTTGCTGTATTCTCCCAAATCTAATAATTTTATAAATCATCTAGTTTCTACTCTCTAGTAATTTTCACTTTTAGTGAAGAAAGACCTTTTCTTTCAAGTAACTTAGTAGTAAATTAGTCAAGTTTAAAACTCTAACAGTTTACCCATATATGAAGATTAGATGGACTTGTATGGAGATTGCACTGATTTCTTGTTTAATGCTTATGTCAGTGATACAGACTACAGAGACAGAAGGATTTGTAATCCTTTCATCAGGAGTATGTCAGAGACCTCCCTGTCCTCTGAGCACAGAAAGCAAAAGCATATTTTTAAAGTTCAGGAATGATCAGGACCTCCACATTCTCCTCCACTTCTGCAGTTACCTGAAGATAGCTCCTTTTCAGAATCCATGATTCAAGGCACTGATGTTTCTTTTTCTCTAAACTCTTTCATAAAGCCTTCAGTGACTAATCAACTTTGGAGTTGCTGTGGTAATGTTGATAGCATCACAGAGTACATTTCCATTTCCAAACTGAACAGTCTTGATTTTCAGAATCAACTTTGGCACCAAGTATTTTCCCGTTAATGTAGAAGCTGCTTTCCAGAAACAATTTCTATTATGCATTTTAAAATTCTCATTTCTCAAATTCTCCTTCTTAGTAAACTAATTTACCAAGAGCAAAAATAGATTAGCCTTGAATATACTAAAATCTGGTTTGCTCACTGAAGAGCAGGCGCACTCAAGGAGATTAAGAGCCTGTCTGGTTGATTCTCTTATTTCCAGCAGTAATCAATAGTAGATGTGTATTTTTCTATCTCCCAGCAATCAGTAGCAGAGGGACCTGTCCTCCTCCACTGAGTTTATATTTGTCTGTTCTTTTGTTCAGAATAGAATGCCCTCTTTTTCAGATCATCTGCTAATCCAGTGACCAGCATAAATCTTCATAAGGCACCCCTCCAACTATTTTGAAAGCAAGTAATTTCTTCCTACCTCCTTTTCTTATCTCTAACTAGTCATTATTTTATGTAAGGACCTTCTTTCTTGTCCCATGGCAACTTCCAGTTAATAGCATTGGAAAAGAACCTCATCCAAAGTGTTATATGGAAATAAACATAGTATATCAAGCATACTTACTTGGTTTCTGAATTTCAAAAAACTCTAATAGACTAAGAAAGCATTATTTTTTTGCAAAAGAAGAGGCAAGAAATAAGTCATGTTGACTCTTCCCCATTATATCATATGCTTATTTATTCTCTCTTACTCATTCATGCTGTGGTCATGACTAGTTTCCTTCATATAGGGGCTAGAATGACTTTTTATGCAGATACCTCTGGATTCTCTTTTGAAAAAAAAAAAAAGATTTAACACTTGTCACACGTACTCTTCCTGTGTTAAAGCCGCTATAAGTGATAAGCTATACATGAAAGCTGGTTGTTTGGCAATTTCTTGTCTAAGTTCCTTTGAAATACCTGGGAAAATATTATCTGGTCCTTATACTTGTCACAGTTTATTCCATTAATTTCTTCTAAGGGACCTTCTATTGACACTAAATTTTAAACACTTCCTGGGACTTACCTCCCATAAGAAAAAGTTCTAGGATAAGAACTTCCTAATGCAAAGAATTATCTTATTTTTATGCTTTAGAGACTCTCCTCTGTCAGTGTATTTGAAAAAAGGTTTTATTATTAGTTCTTATGTTCTTAGAAAGTTGGTCCTCAAATTCTTTGTGGGCTTGTTACATCATAACTTTATATTTAACTTGCTAGAATTCATGCTTATTTATTAATCTCAAATTATTCTCATTTGTAGAACTTTTTTCTGTTGTTTAACTAAGCCTTTAGAAAAGCCACAGTTTTTGTAGCATATCACCAGCCCCTACATAACTTCATATGAATTACTACTGAAAACACAGATGCAAAGCAGTAAGGTAGTAATTGCTGGGTGTGAGATTTGCCCAGCAGATATATCACAAAATATGAGTATGCATAGGCTCGCAAACTTCAGTCTCCCACAGTGCAGTTCTTTCCCAGCAGCATTAATGGGAACTCAGTAGTGATGTGTCAAATATTTATCAGTAACTTCAGAACTGAGCATGTTCCTCCACATCTCACATCTCTTTTCCCCTGCAGATCACACCAGCTAGCAGTGGAAGTCTGTGTGTACTGTGACTTTCTTTGAATCTTCCCTCCTATTGCACACTCTTTTTAGGGCGTATTACATTTGTACCTCTGACACAAGTAGGAGGGGGTTTTGTTCAGAAAGAGCCACCGAAATCCTTTTCCTCTTGGGAACAGTCCTAAAAGGACAATGAGCAGCTCTATCTGAACTTCAAGGTCATATGCCAGCAGTACAAGAAGGTCAGCAGTTATGATAGAAAATACAAATGCCTCTACACCCATGACTGATTGGTTACATTTGACAGCTCTCTCCTTCATGACACTGTTAGACACAGTGAGTGTGAAATTTAGCTTCAGTGACTCCAGCCTCTCGTTACAGCTTTCTCTAATGTGCCATGGCTGAGAGGCTGAGAGCTGAACGCTGCTGAAACCTGGAAGGACCCAATATTAAAGAAGACATAACAGCAATGGTTTTCATTTCATGCTGACCAGGCTTCCTCTCCATCCACACAATGCATCTGCAGCAGCAGCAGTGGCTGGCACTGCCATGCTCTGCAGCTATCCCAGAGCACAGGGAAGTCTGTCCCAAGTGCTGCCTCAGATGACCATCAAGAATGTGGCTGCTTAATGATGGCATCCCTCTAATTAAGGTAGAGTGGTCTCAGGCTTAGAACTAATTTTAATCAGAAGAACTGCCTAGTGATAATACACACTTTAAAAATGAGATCACCTAAACACAAAGAATTTGAATGGTCTGAAGGCAAAAACTGTTTATAGAAATTGGTAGGAGCAGATACCAGCAGAGCCAGATTGCTAGTCCTCTGCTGTAACCTATGTAGTGTGATATATTAATTTTGTGCCTGTCAAAAACTGATTCTCTCTGCAATCTAAAGAGAGTTAGGAGAAAAAGGAGAGTCACTCAGCGCTTTTTGACATGCCTGTCCCTGGGGACCAAGACCACAGAGGTTATGGCAGCTGCCTTCCAGACCCTGATGGCACAGAACAAGAAGGCTGATTTAACTTGCAAAGCTAGTAAGTGCAAAGAGAAGAGTCAGGGTAAAGATAACAGAGAATATACCATTACACATAAATACTATTATGGAAATACAGTACATAGAAATACCATTATAGACTTTTAAAGCCAGTTAGACATTTGGTATGCAAAGACCCATTAAAACAAATGGGAATGAACATCCAAATCCATACGCATCTTTAAAAAACTCAGTTCTTTTACCTCATATGTTTCCAAACCAGAATTTATGCTCTAAAAACAAGCAGTAACTAAAATTAGCTTAAAACAGATTGTATTGTACATGCAAGATAATTTCATCAAACTATACAAGTAAGAATTTTAACTTAACTACAGATACTACTCCTTGTCCTTGAAGATATTGAACAAATCTGCTGCATATAACTTCTTAGGTTTTCTGGTCTATATCACAGTCTCCTCCAGTCATGCTTATTGCTACATACTTATTAATACTAGAGGACTGAGTTGCTATCACTTAAAGAGTTAGTGTATATTTATGTAGGTATGTGTACACAGGTTTTTGCTACAGAAAATAGAAGACAGAAACATAAAGCTTTAATAAAAGTGATTTAAGCTAACATTTACAATGGGCAGAGTACACACACAAGTGATCACTGCAACTCGGATGACATGAGGTAACTCATTAAGCAACAGTAATTCAAATTTATGGGAGCCCTTGGTTTTTCAGAACTATCCTCCCACTCAAATAATATTTCAAAGCTGAATTACCAGATTTGAGCTTTTGATTTTCAGTCGCAAACACACAAACTCTCCAGATATTATCTGAAGTTTGATACATACATTTCCCAAACAGGCACTTTATAAGGAGGCTCATAAGTCAGATACTCACTGATCTGGTTGGTAGATGCACTATAAAAAGCATTCACAGTAGTTGGGCTTGTAAACCACCTGTATTAAAAGTAAAAGAAATCAGCTGTCAGTTCACTTACACATTTTTATGAATAGAATATGCAAAGATAAAAAGCGAACTCAGTGGAGGGAAGCAAAAATGTCAAAGACCTAGGATACATTAAAGTTTAAGCATTACACCATATCAACACATGCTACCTACACTTTCTAGAACATTGAAATTTATTGTTTAATGGCTCTATTTAAAGTACATATAGTCAATGAATGTTCAACAGGAACGATTGTTATACTTCCTATTACCTAATCTGTGCTATTTCTAAGTGACCATGTTGCTTTATGATCTGCCATGCTGACAAACTGAAGTTCACCCAACAGAGACTGTAATACTGATAGCAGCTGTGAAAACTCTTTTAGGTGTCTTTCAGCATGTGTGGAGACACTCCCTCCTGAAATTAGAGAGCATTTTGAAACAAATGAAGTGTCTTCAGATGTTTTGCTGAACAACTACTTGAACAATTAGGATGATGTCAGCAACATGGGCAGGTGCTCTCTGGAAACCTAAATTCAAAATAAACTGCTTCACATTCTGTACCTTATACAATGAACATGGCCATCAATGTGCTCATAAAGAAATGGACCTCTTGCAAGGTGAAACAAACTTTAAAAGGAATATCAGCATTTCTTCTCATGGTTAGATTTCTCATACATAGTAGAGGGAAACCTAGATTTGAATAGCAAATATTTACAAATCTCTTTGGCCTAAAATCATCTACATTGACAGTGGTTTCACCAATATGAGTGGAACATCTCAACTGGCTTCAGCAAGATCCAAATGCCCTCAGATGAAACTCTGAGTTCAGTGAGTCCAAGATTTCACTTTATGATTTTATAATGAAGAACTGAGATAAAACAAAACTAATAAAGATTATGAGAATTAGTGGTTAATTCATAACAAGTTAGAAGCAACTCTAGTAAATGTCCAAACAGGAACGTCCTGATGACTTTGGCAATGCATTACTCAGAGGTTTTGTAAAGCCAAATGAATGCAATGCAGTTGTTTTGGAAAGTTTATTTCAAAGAGAAGAGATGGGTGCTGCAAAACAAAGAGTAGGACAAGGGACGATCTATCAGAATGTGGAAAATGTGTGATGCCAGTGACATTCACGTACATGATTTGTGCTTTAAAATAGCACCATCAAACGAATGAGTTATCTGCGGATTCTGACTGTTTTTCTGGCAACTGATGTTCTTATGCAAGCCACGCAACTAAGGAGAGAGTTTTAGAATGGCAACATTCTGTCTTTTACTAATAAATTTGTCTGCTTTTCTCATCTTCAAAACTGAGTAGCTTATTTTACAATGCAGCAACTAGAAAAAACTAACTAATGAAAGCAAAGGGTGATGTCATGTAAATATCTCGACCATCTATCGAATTATAGGCTCTAATTGCCACAGATAACACTCCCTGGTTTGTTTACTAAGAGATTCTAGAGAGGAGGAGCAGGGGGAGGTTGTTTCCTCGTATGTTTTCTGTTTCCTCTATAATAAAGAGATTAAACGATAGAGGTAATGTAGTGAGATAATTGAAAATTGAAGAAAGAATGTTTGTGGTGAGGGGATAAAGAAAAAATTAGGGGGTTTAATTAACTACATTTCAATTTAATGTTTATGCACAGCAGCAATCAGCTGAACTGTTTTGAAGGATGCAATCCGACCATCTGTGCAGTGGGACATGTTCTCCAGGCTTAGCCTGTCCAGTCCTCTGGAGGACTCTGTCCCTTTTTTGTTAAGATCCATCTGAAGCACTCAACACTTCAATTTAGATTTTACTGTAAGTTTGGACAAAGACACATAGCTCTGTGGCTTCCACCTCTCCCTGTAAGTGGGGCAGATGCACTCTTTAGTTTGTGTTTCTTTAAGCTACAATTTTCTTTGTGATATCTTCCTTCCTGAGTTAAGAGTATAGTGAGCTACATTGCCAGTCTTGAAGAGGGATGACTGGGAACATTTGCAATACGGGGAAATGTTTATTAATTTATTTAATTCTCTGTAAAACACAAACTGAATTTCCAATTTGTTCTCTCAAATGTATGAGTTAGAAGAAATAACTCAGGTGGAGCCGAATTTGGTGCACAATGTCCCAAGTAAGAATTTTAAAAAAAAAAAAAAAAAAAAGTTCATAAGTAAATAAAATTAACTTTTGGATGTGTAACACACTTAAGCTTGTTAGAAGTGAAAAGCTGTGAAAAGTTGTAACAAAGCTGGGATCTAGGAAATCGTTTCCCAATAAAGTACTATAAAGAAGAACTTCTAAAGAGGAGGCAGTCTTCAAGGTGACTTTCAAAAGCGTATTTCTTCTTCTTGTTGTTAGTCTATTCTATACATTTTCCCATGTAGAAACAGAGGATTAGCCTCTCAGTCCAGTCTGGCATCTGTGTCCCCTGGGGCTGGGCAAGAACTGGGATGGTAAGGCTGGTCCCAGCCTCCAGTGCCACAGCATTGTTTAAAATGAGGTTCAAAGATCAGGAAATGGCTCCAGGAGGCTCTTTTCCAGCCTCTCCTCCCCAGGGCAGGTCCACTCACAGGATTTCTGAGCTCTTCAGGAGCATCTCTCCAACAGACAGCAGCCTCCCCATTGTCTTTCATAGCTGCTTTTCCCTTTTTACAGAAGGAGTTTTTACACTGTCTTTAAGGGGAACCAACCCAGCACCTCTCAGAGCTGCCATCCCCTGAGGCAAACTAAGAGTCAGGGCTTACAAAAAATAGTGTGTGGTCAGGAAACTGGAATAGGTCTTGGAGGAGACCCAGGAATCTTCTCATAGTACACTTCGTCTATGTCCTCCTATAAGGATAATAGATGCCTACCTCTCCAGTGTTGAAAGTTAAGTGAAAAGTGAAGAAAGATTTGGCCAGGTCTAAAAATCTTAGAGATGTCCTGTCTTCAAAGAAGAAAAATTAATAATAATGAAGTGGTATGCCCAAGCTGTCCTCTGATGCTTTGCTATTTTCAAGTATGATATCAGTGTTAAGAAGGATAGATTCAATCATTATTGAAAAGGTGCATGTCTTTACGTATACATACACACGTGTATGTATATTTGTATATATGAATGTATATCACTCCATGGATGGATAAGCAAATGCCAATAAACCCTTGAGTCTCCTTTACCTGTCCCTTCCACATGGCCATCACTTTCACATGAACTGCCTTTCACCTCTCTCTGCTCCAGTTGTCTCTCACCTGGGCTATTATAATTGCCTTCATGCCAAGTCCCCTTCTTCCCACACTCGCCTCTTCCAGCCTTGTCTCCTCCAGTCAGTCTCTTGATCCAACCCATGCTGTTTCATGTATCATATTCCTCAGCTCCTGCCACAAATCCCTTTTGTATGTCTCCCTCCTGATACCTGAGCACTTTTTCTCTGGTTTGATAGAGCCACCTGCGAAGGCGACAAGCCAACTCTGCAACCAGCTGTTAGGATCACAGCTGGCATCCAAAGCGGGTGTTGGGGACAGCAAGTGGCACCTCCCTCAGCCACAGTGCTGGCAGTGGTGGAGCCTGGCCCCCGGGACTGGCAGAGCAGGCAGCTCTGGTGCCTCAGTGCCTTGTCACATCTTCTCGGTACCAGCCGGGCCAGGTACGTCTCCCCATCTTTGCCCTGAGCATTGCCTGGCCTGGCTGCCTCATGCTCCTTTTTCCTGTAAAGCCTATAACTGCTAGGGAGGGAGGGAACAGAACAGAGAATTTTAATAATTACTCCTTCTTTGGGGGAACTCTTTTGGTCTTTTTAAATTACAGAACCATTGAATTTCCAGAATATTTTATTTCTGCTTTGATATCCACATTCCCACTTGCTTTATCAAACTCCTTTTTCTTGTATCTCCCAGCTACTCTGTCTGTCCCCTGATGGTGTTTCCCTGGTGCTTTGAGTGCATCATCATCTTGATTCTCCATTTGGTTGACTATGCTGAGGAAAGTAAGTCCATTTTGAAATAATATTTCTAAGAAATCTGGACTGCTAAATTAATATATGGTTTACATTTTGGGGGTAATATTACTTTACTATCTGGTATCTTGTTTCCTTAAATACTTGTTTTCTTATTTATCTTTCCCAGTCCACAACCTGGATCATTTTATAATATCTATCTCCAAATATAAACGCTATGCCAAAAGGTATTGAACTAGGGAAAAGAAAAAATGAAGCAAGCAGAAACAAAACCCCAAGGGTAATTCTTTATTAACACAGTGCCAAGCTTCAGTGTAGACCAAAGATCTGTGGAGTTCTATGAAATATAAAAGCTTAAAAAAAAAAAAAAAAGAAAAGAAAGAAAGAAAAAAGAGAAGTAAAAACCTCAGAAAGCAGTAGAGTCCAATAATTAAAATGTGGCAAGTGCTGATATTTTTCAGGACAGATTTGACATGCCTCACAGTGGTGGGTGGTAGTTATTTGTTTATTATAATAATTTTTAAAAAAATTACTGGAGGTGGTGATGACTATGCCTTGGTACCCCTCAGTAGACACAGCAAAAGCGGACAGTGTTACACCACTTTCAGAGCTCTCTTCCTTTACTGAGCAGGTGCAAAGACAGAATAATCTCCCAGCAGGAATAATTATGACTGAGGGCTCAGGTGGATATTAGCCCCAGCAGTAGGCAGAGCATATAGGTGTGCTGACAAAGGAAAGAGACCAAAAATCAGACTGGGATCCCCCTGGCCAGAATGTGCCCCACAAGATGGCCAGAAATGTAAGACAACAGTGATGAAGGGGCTGCTGTTGAGTAGTCCTTGAAATAAAATAATAAAAAACAAGCATGAGAAAATGTTCAATCTTCTAGTGGGCAACTGGGTAAGACCTTCATTTTTAAAGCATATCCATGCAACAGTTGTCAGATTACAGCCCCTGAGGTGTACAGCAGGGACTACCTGCCAACTAATTTCCTTACAGGGCCCAAGAATCTATGTGGTCTGCATTATGCTGCCCTGGTACAGTTTCATGAGGTGAAGGTTGCTGATCAGCATTGCTATAGAGAGGCAAGTGTTATTTCACTGCACTTATGGAAACTGTTAGTCTGAAGAGAACATACTGCCATGATCTAACCTTGGCATCCAGGGCTGCAGGAGAGCCCATAAAACCATTCCCTGGGACTAACCATTGCAATGTCAGAGAAAGGTATGATGAGAAGGTAAAATTCACAATTAAAATTATGCTATAAGCACCCCTTGAAAATATGGTGCCAAATTACAACACTCTAACCAGAAATAGTCTGTGCCTGTCCTGCTGATATCCTGTATCTGTGTCGCAGACAACATAGAGCCACCCTGAAAACAAGGTGTGATTCAGTTTGAGTAGGAATTTCTGAAAACCTAAGGAAAAACCACCACAAGAGCTAGGCAGCAGCACCAATTTCAAAGTCTCTGTGTAGAAGGAGTCATTTTTAAGTAGCATGATCAGACTAATTCAGGTCAGTTTAGGTTTTGATTTGCATTTTAAGAATTTGATTGCCCACCAGTAAGAAAAGAGACTGATTCTTTCATGTATTTTGACAGTATGTGACACAATCTGCACTCTCATATTTACAAATAAATAAAGTAAAAACAGATGTAAAATAAATTAGGTTTTATTCCATATCATTGCTATCAACAGCAGGTAACTAACAATGCTGATTGCTATTACTAATAATAACATTATCTCTTACTAATGATACCATTCTTAGAAAATTTATTTCATAAATCCCTGCTGTACCATTCCAAATTCTAACTGTGACCAAGAGACATAATCCATTTTTAACTGAGATTCAATTACCCCTTTTTTCATTAAATTAAGTTAAAGCTGCAAGCATATGACTATTGTGTATCAGAACAGGGATACCTAGAACTTACTGAAAAAAATATCCACAGGAATTTCTGAATAACTAGAGGGTTCACCCATAGGCTTTTTGTATCATAATATGTAGCTGTGTATATAATTCATTTAAAACATAAATTGTATAAATTAAATAATATACATTAAAATAGATTTAAGATTATGTAAATTTGCCTTTTGTTTACTCACTCTGTTTTTGGAACTTCTTTTCTAAGCCAGTAGAAATCAGATTGGGCTGCATATTTGCGAGTTTGCAACACATTGCCAAAATAGTCACTTTCTGTAAACTTCAGCTGTATAGATAAAGGACAGACATTTTTAAAGCATGTCCAAGGAAACAAAAGCTGTCATAAACCAATCAGAACTTTTATTTTAAACAAGATAATCTCCTAATTTTTTAGCCATTATCAAAGCAAGTATAGTTTTCACACTTGGGATGAAGAATAAATATTTTGTGAGCTTAGTTAAAAAACAGTGGCTGAATGGATCTACACGAGGGACTGGAATATTGGGAAAACCCTTCCCTGTGCAAAGAAAAGATGAGGAAATTGGAAGTATCCAATGATGAATTGCAGACTGCATGTTTCTATGACTATTCTTAAGACAGCCTTTTTTCCAGAAGCAAATAAGTCTACTTTTATTTTTAAAAGTGTATTTTAAAAATACTTTTTAAAATGTAACAAAGCCCCCTTTTTCAGTTTCTTTTGCATTTTTTTACAACTATTTAATACTCTATGCTCTCCAAGGGTTCTGCCACTGCTTTCTTACTGTTTCTCACATTAAATATTTACAGACATAAGGCTCCAGGCTTCCATAAGCCTCCAAACACTGAGTGATAAAGTTGATCACATCCTTCATCTCCTTACACTGCCTTCACAGCACCATCTCGCCCTACTCTTTCCAGGAACAAGGACTAGGCTGATAGAGTTGGCTCTTCAAAGTTTTCTCAATAAATTATGCCTCTGTTTAATGTTTGTTCATGTTCTGTTGCAAAGGTGACTATCAGTCTTGTATTTTACTAGTTCAGGATTGAATTTGTGATTCTACTTTGCCTGTGACTTTCAGTAATACAATTCATCACATGCATGCCACAGTTACCGCTTTGGAAAATACATTATTCTTCATCATCTGCCTTTCTCACCTTAGTTAGGCTGAACAGATACTGGGTCAGGAAGGAGTCCCCCCACAGTATCCTTGCCCAACAGCCAGCATAGTAGGCCTATACATTGGTTAAGACCTTTAGGCATGATTATAAGCAAAAATTACAAATAAAATTCATATCCTGGAGAGGTGAGGAGAACCTATATAGGGCATCATAAACTGTCATATTCTGAGGAAAAACACATTAATATTTCTGAAGACTGTTACTTTGAGGAAAAATGCTTTTGTTTTATTTCATTTTCATAACTAAACGCAAAATTTATGACAGTGTATGCTTCACCTTTAAAATGATTAGCAGCAGGAAGGTTCTTTGCACCTAGGCACATTTTACTCCCAGCAGGCCTCGTGGTCATCTCCCTTAGACACACCAGCATTGACAATTTAGACATGAGAGCTAGCATACTTAATTCAACATCTAAAAATAACCAAGCAAGCAGAACTCCAGATGCGTGCCAAACAGAAGAGGAACTTTGATTTTAGAGAGCAGTGAAACAGAGTAAAGAATGGCTGCAATATGTAAAAGAAGAAAGCTGCAAGTCTGACACTTACTGTTTTGATGTCTTCATTAATATATGTGTCATTCATTATAAATTGAGGGTAACCCACTTTTGCCATAACTGCTTTTGCCTTTGAAAATGAAAAAAAACAGAAAAGAAAGTGTTGGCAGATATAACCATTTCTCAGCATAAGGCACTTTTTTCCCCCATTCTATTTCCACTTTGTATTATTATGCCTTCCTGAAGGTATCCTAATTTAACTTCAAACCAACTTGCCTACAAGGTAAACTTGGTGCCACAAATGAGTTTCACATCACAACGTGAAGGGTCCAGGTTCTGTTGTCAGATTATCACAGTGGGTCTGTTGTTGCCTGCAGAGCTTTTGCAGACTTACAGCAATGTGTTTGAGTGCAAAATCTTCACAGCTGATTTTCCCTACCGCTTTTTGTGTTAATCAGATGGTCAAATGCCTGTTTTTACAATGTTTTCCAAAAGATGACAGGAAATGGCCCATTCGGCTATGACGAAGTAGCTGGTACACATCCAATTGCTAAAGTATATCTGACACACAGATGTGGATGAACCTGAGTCCCATCAATGCAGACTGGTGTATTTTCACTGAGTGTCACTTCTATTTCCACATGAGGGTAGGCGCACACTTTTCTGAAGGACACAGTACTTTCCTAAAACCACAGGGCTGATCTTTGTTTTGTTCTCCACTTTCATCCCTCTACTTTGTAGTCTTTGTCCTTTTCCTAACATCAGTAAAGATGTTAAAATAAGACACTTTTCATTAACTTTGGGTTTTTTCCTCTTTCAGTCATGCCTTGGTCCCAGTGTTTATGCACAATCTGTGTAAACACTCTGGTGCGAAGTGATAGTAGCTGTAGATGAGTATTCCCACTCTGTAAATCATGGCGTAAGTATACAAACAGCCTTAGCAATGTCCTCACAAAAAACACCAGCAGGCCACACAACCACCCAGAATCTCTGTGGAAACAACACATTTCCAGAAGAAAAGCAGAAGGATATAAAAAGATAAGGTGACATACCAAGAAGTGAAATATCACAAATCCATAGAATAAATTAAAATCATGGTGGACTAGGGTAGCACAAAGCTTTCACTTTGTATGTTTCCAGGACGCTGAATTTAATTTCTCCTTAAGTCTTTGGAATTCCCCCCAGACCTCAAAAAACACTCTTCTGGAAATTTATTCTACGAACTCACAGGTCTCAAATGAATATTGGAAGATATGAAGTGCAATAAATGGATTGGCCTTTAAACAAACTGAAGCCGTACCAACCCTGCATTCTGCCCTCTGCAAGCAGAGACCAGACCTCTCTGAGGTTCACTGACTTCTATTTCCCTCTTGCTGCAGGGGGTGACTGTTCAAGGGAAGATTTCCCTTCCTCTACAACAAAATCCTTGCCACCTTCTCACACTCCACAATGTCTCAATACAACAGGGCCTCCTATGACAGCAAGAATTAGAAACATCTGTTCCAGGACTGTAAAAAGGAAGCCAACGGAGAACTGCTTCCCATTTAATCAAAATTATTTTTGTCTCCTCTTTTATTTTTCAGGAAGGCCTCTTTGTTTCTTCAAGTTCCTTCAATTTCTCAATCTTATTTCCAACCCAAAGTCGTAATACGCCATTTGTGACATCACAAGTAATTGTGGGTGAGCTAATTAAGATGTCACAAACAGAAAATTACAACTTCAGGTAGGAAATTAGCAGCAGGAGCAGATGATCTCTTAAGAAAGAAAGATCCCATTATCATGCAAATATCCCTAGTGATAAAAAAAATCAATGGAAGACAAATGCAGAACAGGAAATACGAAATGAGCCAAATTAACTCTCAACAGAATGTTTTCTCAGTTTTCCAGAAGGTAGAACAGCCTTTCAAGATATTTTAAATGCCTGGGGGGGATAAAAAGCAGGGGAGAGGAGCACAATTCATCTGCAAGTTTTGATAGAGTCAAGAGTGACTATTTTTTCTTGGTGGTGGTGTCAGGTCAAACTAGCTGAACTTTGCAAGGAACTGGAAAATTTCCTTTTCCATTTCCAGTGTTTTAATCCTAGTTGAAACTAGTCTTGAGAAAACAAAGAGCAAAACTCATCAGTTTTAGTTTCTACTAAGTCGGTTGCTTAAACAAGTTTGATGAATCTTGAAGGTTCTGCATGTGTTCCAGAGTACCTATGTGAATCACTTACAGTAGCGTCTGTGTTGAATCTACTTAATTGATCCCCTTAGCATTTTATTAAACACTAACTTATATGATGGAAAGTAAACCCTTTAAAAACAATTTATAGTGCAACTTGCAGAAAAACAACAGTGGCTTTTAAAGAAAAAGTAAGGATTGGTCATGTCGTGTCTATACAATGTCATTTCACTCATAATTTAGCCAGTACAAAGTTGATCAAAAATTGTTAATCTTGTTTTAGCACAGAAAAGAACATCTTTGGTTTTGAGCTATATTATATCATTTAAAAACACAATTTCTAGACTGTCTTCCAAGTAAAAGCAAATAAATTCACACCACACTGTCTGTAAATGCAGAGGGCTATGAAGCCAGCCTAGATCTGGCAGCACTTCTTTGCTGAAAGAAGCAGAGATGGGCCTGGCCCTCAAACCCATGGTGGTAGTTGTCTGGTCGCAACTACAATATGTCCATCTCCACCGCATGGACATTTTGGGATCTTTGTGGAATATCTGCCACATCCATCTCAGTCTCTTCTTCCACAGCAGCCCACTGAGAGCAGCAGCTTGGAACTGCCAGGTTTGGGCCCTTTCTGGCCCCACTCCTTAACCAAACATCCCTAAGGGTGAGGATGATTCCTCTACGCTCCTTAATAACAGGTCAGGCATAGGTTGACCTAAATATCGTATATAAACACAAAATATCATAAATAATTATATAAATAATATTTAACATTAATTTCTTATTTTAGTGACACTGAAATTCTTTACTCTTGTCATGCCCCTGCTGCATTAGGAAAGGAAGATGGGAGGAGTTCTCCCAACCAGACTACCTCAGGAGTGCTGGGCTCACTTGTCAGGTCACACGTACTCTTGCTTTGTGACTTTCACCATTGATGTAATGAGATTAAGATTCCAAGCATGAGGAAAAAAAGGCCAGACATTACTGAGATATTTTTTATAAAGGTTATATAAAACCCTAGTAAATAACAGAGTTTGTCTCAAAGAGATTTTTGAAAGTAAATTCAAAAGGTAGTGCTGATACTAGTACTTCAATGTTTTATCAATGGCTAAAGTTGTCTGTATTTTGTGATAGATAGATAGATAGATAGATAGATAGATAGATAGATAGATAGATAGATAGATAGATAGATAGACAGATAGATAGATAGATAGATAGATGGATGATAGGTAGATAGATAGATAGATATAGATAAAAGGCGAAAATGTTATTTTATTGCATTTGTTACTTAAAAGTTCTTACCACAATATGTGTGGTGTAGAAGTCTGAGCAAATAAGACAGACAACTATATACTCTGTAATGACTAAACTCTAAGGCAGACATTGCTATCACTGTAATTATGATGCCTTCTTAAATGTTCCACCATTCACGTAGAATAACAAAAATTCAGTAACGTGTACACATTGTTACTACACCCCCAAGTTAATTTGCTATTAGAAACTCTAAGTACATGTATAAACACCATTACAAAGCTTCTAGGCCATCTAAAATCACAAATGAAGCAAGAGCTGATGGAGAGCAAACTGGTACAAGGTTGTCACATGCAATCCATGTCTCACTATATAGGTTCTCCCAGAAAAGGAACATGTCTCAAATTGGTCCAAATGGTATTTACGGTGCAGCCAAAAATTTAGAGGTGTGCCATGCTCCGCTGAGATCCTACTGAGCTAGTATCTCCTTATCTCCACCATGTAACACATATTGGTGTGGGAGGAACAGTGGAATAAGCTTACTTGATGTAAGGGACCAAGAACATCTCTCTTTTCAAAGGACTGACTCCAGCCTGAGATGAGGTCCAGGCTCACACAGCCCATGCAGGCACCTCAGTCAACAAACATGGGCCAAAAGGCTGTGGCACACCATTAAGTTAAGCTGACAGTGAAGGACGTGGCTTCTGGTGGAAGGGACCATTTCCTATAGCCAAAGCAAAACCCATGAGAGGACATAGGAAGCCCTCTGAAGTCCTTGGGAACCCCTCCAACTGGGATTCTTCCCAGGGGCTTTGCATCAGGTCCAAGCCTGTCCAGCTGAGCCCAGCACACAGCCCAGTTTATTTACACAACAGACAAGTTAAAAAGCAGGTTTCTAAATTTGCATGTTGGAAGTCTCCTGCTTCCTTAGCTATCTTTTCTGTTCACTTGAGTAATACTGAACAGCAGTTTGAAAACTCCTTATTCATACAACACAAGAAAATGGAAAGCTCTTCTACGACTGGCTTGCTCTTTGATAATGAAGTCAGTATTTTTCCCCTGATAAGATTAAAAGTATGTTTATGAGACCAGCCTTCCAGGAGGCATGCACACATATACAGGGAAAGCAAGTGGAATGTGTTAAATGTACAGGAACCAACCATGTGGTAATTGCACATGAATCTGCCATAAACACACCATGCACAACTTTTTATGGTTTAAAGGCTAGTTGAATTCCTTTCTCTAATTTGCATATTAAATAACTACATGTACAGGAAGAAAAGGGGTGATGGGGTATTCCCTCCAGCTACTGTTAAGTACTCAGCCTACCTTAGGCTGTTGGGTAAATTAAGAAAACTCATCACCACAGGCTTCCTCTCCTGCTGCTGAAAGCAAGAGGCTCTTGCAGGGGATGACGTAGAGAAGCAGCATGCTTTAGAGTACATTGTGATAACTGTTTTCTATCCCAGCAGCCAGATAGAGCGGTCTCCAAGGCAGAAGACCTGGAGTGGGACTACTCCCTCTGCCGCTGATTACATGTGGAAGTTTCCCCACTGACTTCAACACAGTCAGGATTTTATCATCAATGTGTCTTTCTGTCACGATGAGAGCACTACAAGTCAGTTTACTACAGAGACAAAATAGTAAATGACCTTTCACTCTTGACTTAACAACTTGCCAATGTGGGAACACACACGTTTCAATGCTACAAAGCAT